CAGGAAATGAGACAGGAGGGGGAAACCTGTTTGCCACCAGCCCCGCTCGGCCACTCGCTCCCTCACGCCTCCACCCCACGCCACTTCCCTGACCTGCCACCTGTGCCCTTAGACTGTCCTCCACCTCTAACCGGAGCACTGTCCCCTTCATTCCCCCTCATGACAGCTGAGGAGGAGGAGGTCCAGTTTGGTGGCACCGTAAATGAGACTCTTTTGCCATCCCTCGCTGGTGAGGATGACACAAGGTCATCAGATTCACTCTTTGGCTCATTCGAGATTACTAATTCCACCAGCTACTTGACAGACTTGGCTTTGGATGACATCTTTGAGGACATTGACACGTCGATGTATGACTCCTCTGACATTTCTGTCCTGGCGTTTCCTGTGCAGAGAAGCAGCGGGGTGGACGATGGCCTCAAGAGCCTTTCCAGCTGCACCTCCAACAACAGCCTACAGCTCTGTCTCTCAGACATCAACGACCTGGACCACATCATGGAGATCCTTGTGCGCTCCTGAATCACGGCTCGCACTACAGTGTCCTCATTCAGCCATCCCAGTGTTTTCTATGGGAAATTAATAATACAATGCATTTTCTTTTTTAAAAACAAACAAACAAATATTTTATCTATTTTTATACAAAGGACTGATATATTTATATATGAAAAAAGGAAACTGCCTGACACACTCTCACTGTAGGATAAATGCACATTTTAAAGACTTTTTCCAGATGGTCGAGCTTAAGCTGCCATCCTTCATATTTAAGCAAACTAAGATATGAATATGCAGGGACTTCGGAAACAAATACAACGTATTACCATTGATGCTTATTTATATTGGATAGTTGTATTTAAAAGAAGATGGAAGAAAAGTGGATTGTTATGGATGCTCCTCCTTAGCTTTTGATAAGCTAAAAGACATTTATTTTTTATTCTGTAAAATGCTTGTATTCTGAAGCATTACATTTAACTGTCAGTAATTATGATTATCAGATCATGTCATGCACATGCAGCACTCACTCTACCTCTCAAGATACCAAGAGCTCTTACTCTATACAAAGACTGTCATTGTTACAACTGTATTTTAATGGTTTCTCTCCAATAACTTTCAAAACTGCTGATTGTTTTATATATGCCTCTCTGTTCACAGGAAAGTCTCTCCTCAAATGTTAGGATTCAGTCCAAAGCTATATAGCTGTAGAAGAAAGGCTTTTGTCTCAATCTTTCTATTCAAAATGTTCTTTTTGAAACATTTCTTACTTTGGTTTCAGAACGAGCCATTGCTTGCATAAAAAGTGATCTGTATTTTCTAATCACTTGGAATTTAATCCTATTTCTACTTTTCACGTACATGATTGTCAGTCACACAGCCACCATCGAATCCCTCGTATGAACATAGTGCCTACAACGGAGAATGAAGACTGCCGACGATGAACTGCACACTGGACCCGCGCATAGACTTGCCTGAGTTTCCTGCTCTATGCCCATGATGCTCTCTAAGTGGGTTGTTTGTCACTTTTTTGAGTATTTAGCACGATCCTCTGTCCTCTAAAGAAGCCATTACCCGAAGTTAAAGCAATCAGCTCCTGTCACGTGGAGAGCTGTGCTAGTGGTGAATGCTACATTGAGAGTTTGAGCTGGTTCGCATTGGTGCGCTCACAGCAAGCCCCACCCCCAGTGAACAAGTGGAAGTGGTTCAATTTGGTTCTTCCCTTGCCTATGGATAGCTCACTTTGATCATTAGTGGCTTGAGACATTTTACGGTCTGAATTTTAGTTAAATTTAGACATTCCAGCTAAAATACATAAGATATTTATATAATAAAAAACAACAACTAATTACAGAGTTTGAGGTTGCAGCAGAGAAGGGCTTTTCGTTTTTTGGTTGAAACTGATGTGCTCGTCCCTCTTTAAACTCAGGCTTGCAGACACCCCACCCTGCCTTTCCCGCTCACAAGACACATGCACGGCCACAGAGAAAACCTGACACTAAAGAAGTTTACACTCAGATTTTAGGAAACTTGCTCGTGTAAGATGGTAACCTTAAACCAGAGAGAGACTTCATGATGAGACCATCGGCGTTGCATTAGCGACCTGTTTTTATTGCTGAAAGCTGTGGATCTAATGAGTGTGTAACTTTTTAAGCTTTGTAAGCTTGATCAGTTTTTCTTTTTGTGTTGTGTATATACATTTGTATTTATATATTTTACTTGTGTTTTGATCTTTTTATTTGTTGTTGACTAAAGATCATGAGATAATATATTGCTTTTATTTAAGAGTGAGATATGATCAGTAGACT